GATTGCAGTCGAGACGGCCCGAGTGGAGTTTCATGTAAATGTTTCGTACGGAAAAAAAAAATCGCGTCCCGGGTTTTGTGTTATAAACAACACATTAAGTGCATGGGGGTACCTATACATTGAAAGTCAACTTACGTGTGACCGTATTACTGTATAATAATACAACACCACTATCTCACTATGTTGTACTGTGGTTAGGTCTAAAGGTCTGTCAGCTGTTCATTCAATTGTGTTGTATCAGATACCAGACGTATGGAAACTGTAATCCAGGAAACCGCGTATCGTTTTAATTCACCCTCTTCCGGTATCGATTACGGAGGCCTATTAGTATGGGCGGCCATTAGGACCAAAATAAAAACTCAAGAAATGAAAGACAAATTCAACAAAGACAAACTCACAAACAATAGACAAACTCAAGAAACAAAAAATAGGCAAACAAAAGACAGATTCAAAAAAAGAAAAATTCAAACAACAAACACAACAAACAAAAGACAATTAAACACAAACGTCAAAAACAAACTCAATTGAACAATTTTCCGATCCAAGTTCCAACAAACTACAACCAGAGGCCTAACCTATCCTAACATAAGTGATGTACAATACCAGGGAGCATGACCAAGGTCTGTTTGATGGTAGCATATCGTACGCATCCTTAATTGGATTATTATAGGAGGCCTTCAATCAAGAGTTTCGTACTCTCTCCTCTTATTAATGCCTCCTTGCTATGACTGCTCCCTACCTTATTCAGGGGCTATTTAGGAAAGTCAACAAAAGAAAATAAAATATGATTGCTCAAAACGCCTCAGAGGTTATTTTCGTGGGTCTAGAAAACAAATATTTCCCAGGGGCATACCCGCGGACCACTTGGGTAGTATTTTCTCGATCGGCCTATTTTCGGCCCCCTTTTGCCCCTTCTCCTTTCGGACATCTCTGGATCAGCCTCGATTACCTTATTTATAACAGGCACAGTCGGTTTACCCTGTATTCGATAGAGGCTGCCTACCTTGACTACGGAGGTATAATTATTGACTTTATAAATAATAACTATGTCTTTGACCATTTTCTTCGACTACGTGAAACAAGGCAGGTGCTAGCTGTGAATAACCTTTCCTATAATCACGGATATGGCAATATTCTAAATCAAATGTTCTATAGACTTAAACAGTCATCCCTGATTTTTAGGCATTTGCATGCAAATTTAATTTGAAATTGAACGTCAGTTAAATGTGGCATCAATTACACCAAGGTTATATTAACCTCCTTGATTGCACGTTGGTGATGACATCAGTTTTTGGTAGTGTATCTATTTCTTTGCCACACGCAAACGTGCGTCGAGCACGTAAAATCCTGAAATTAACATATTCCGCAACGCAAGATGAATAAATTATGACGTCATCCGTTAACGTTAAGGTCGTGCGACGAAAACTACCCATTGACTTCATAGTTTACTATATTTTACTTCGCGACGTTCTTCATACCACGGCTCTCCTGACTTGCAGTAGGATGAAGCAATGCTTAAAGTTATTCATGATGTCACCATAAGAAGCCAGACCTTCCTCGTTTTTGAAGTCGTGGTATTTAGCAACTAAAGTACCAAATGAATTCCCTAGTACTAAAATATAAATCCCTGGTATTCAACCCCCGGCCCGCTGTCCAACTCCGTCCTGCTAAAAATGTTGATCCATCCGGCATGCGCAACATAACTAACAATAAATAAATAATTTTCAGGCCGAATATTAGAAAAAAGATTTCCGTTTATAGAACCACCTCCTAGACAGCCATATGAGTGTAGCTCACTATACCTAGTGGCGTAAAATATTGACATGGGTATTGGGAAACTGATGGGGATAATGGATTAAGTGGGGCGCTAATATGATGCGATGTCTAACCATTTGCGCACAAGCAGGCTCTCGTGAAAACTGCTTTGTAAAACTTTTTTTGAATCTTAAAGTACCATTTCCAGGAAACTAGAGGTACCTCTGTTAAAAATTTGCTCACCTCAACCCCAACCACTGGTGAGTGGGTATTTTTGTTGGAATATTTCTAGCAGCAGGGTAGGAGAACCTGGAGTGCAAGTGTTTTTTTTTTTCAAAATTCTAAAATAAAATAAAGAAAATATAATTATATTCAAATTTAGGTCAGAGAGTGCGAGGTGCCATATTCATAAATGTTCTTGCCTCAGCCCCAACCATGGTGGGGCTGAGGTGGTATTTTACCCCTGTCTGTGACAGCTCTTCACTGGCCCCTTCTATTTCCAATCCAACCTTAAAAAAAAAAGAAAACTGATGGGGCTGTATACCAAAAAATTGAAGTACACAATTTGGCCCGCAGTTGGTCTCAACAGGTTGGAACTGTCCCCGGCTTAAAAAGGTTGAATACCAGTGGGATATAAATGATCCGATAATGTAATTTGAAAAATAAGTGGCGCTGTAACAGTATGAAATATCTTCTGTTCGCCAGAGTTTCTGAGCTAACAACAAATTGTAACGTAATTAATATTTGCCTATATAAATTAAATAAAAAATATTTGTAAAACTCGATTTTGTGTATTTTATTCAACTTGAAATAACAAAATGGAGCATTTCGATACATGGAGCTATAACATCAGCAGGCCTAAATATGTACATAATCTCAATAGTTCTGTCGACGAGGAAACGTTTTCTAACAACCAATGATAATGCGTTTCAGGCCGGCGCTCAAAATGCATAAGGCTATAAAGGTAGTAACCTATAATTTAACCATTAATGAGTTTATGCATAAAAAGTAGAAAATACACAAAAATACAACAAAAACCATTTAAAAATGTATATTGAGGATACCGTCCAGCAAGAAAGTCCTATTCCAGCCTTTTTAGTTCATTAAAAAATATTTTTCGTTGTAGTGAAAAAAATAAATAAAAAGTAAAAAATAAATAAAATGCCGAACCTCAATTTCGTACCTTTTGGGTCGGTCGGGCATGGCCAACACAGTATTTTTTTTTTATTTCGCCTAATCTACTTAATTTCAAAAATCAATTACAGTATCAGAAAATTACAGCAATATCAAGTATCTAGGTAAACGGAAGAAATTATTCTTATTTAAAATTATTAAATATATTTTTGAAGGAAGTTAAATGAATATTCTCATTCTTTATGGTGTTACTGATGTCCGCTTTTACTGATCATTTTACTTAAATTTTACAGCTATCCTATTATCTGCAGATGATATTTAAATTGTAAACAATTCTTCATCTGATGATGATACTTTACGTTAGGATCTAAGACCTGGATGATTTTGTACTGTGGTGTAATTTGTGGAGTGTAGTAATCACTTTTCTACAAATGACTGTAAAATTTTGAAAGCAAATAATTTTGGAGGACGCTAAATAAAAAGAGAGAATTACATTTACAAATTCTGTTGGGTAAGCCGTTCCAGAGTCCAGAACCGTAATAAAGAATAGTCTTCTGTTCTAGCAAATGGTGTATGAAGTTTATGATTCTTGTGCTATAATGGACTCTTTGTTTTTGAAGAGCTCAGATAAACTGTTCAGTACATTGTCATTCATAAGTTCAACAACTTTAAAACATGATTTTGTCGTTTTCTCTAGATTTGTAAAGATTCAGTATTGTATTGTAGCAATTAGTGGGCTGCCTTCGGATATTTGTTGATATATTTCGTCTGCGTACAAAATTCTGCTGTTTGCTGATGACGTAGGCTTTTTACTCAGAGCAACTGACGTAAAACCATCACTCGTAGAAATTCATAATCATGCAAAAGTTATTTGTAAATAGACGTGAATATCCCACATGTCTTGAGGGGTTGAGGGCAACTAGACACACCATAATGTATCTAAAGACTGCTTGGCCTTCAGACCTCTGAAATCAAATTAAATTGTAATTTTCAATCCATGTTGAAGGTAGAGAGATCCACTATGGTGAGATTGTTATTTTGTATTGTTTTGTTGTTTGTTTTTTCCCCCAATCGTTGGCGGCCCCCATGTGAAATGAGGTGGTACGGTATTAACTGTCTTCCAAAAAACAAGAGCATCAGACCTTTGAAATCGAATTACATTATCACTTTCTTTATTACATGTTGTCAGTAGTGAGATTCTCCATGGTCAGGGTGTTTGTTTTGTCACTCGTTGGTGGTCTTTGCCTACTTTGTCCAGCGTTTTTAATTAAGCATTTAGAAAATCTTGTAGGTAAGCACGCAACTACAAAGGCTTTACGATATCTTGGGTTGAAAGCACCGTAGACCAGTGGATTGATGCAAGAATTGACATAGAGTAGAAGACGAAATGCAGTGTTCAATATATCGTCTACATGTGGCTCCACAGGTATATATTGGCCTTTAAGTGTATACACAAAGTGAAGAAAAGAGGAAATGTTAAATGGTGCCAAGAGGACGAAGTAAACCAAACCATTTAAGCAAAGCATGCGATTAAAGTATTTTTTTATTTGTTCGTTTCGGAATTGTGTCGTCTGCGCCATCCCACGATTTTGTAAAGACGCGTTCCCCCTATGGAAGTGCCGTAAAACCAGTACGTATAAAACGTTACTTACTATTACTGATGCAAAAAATGCAAATGTTTGCGTAATATGAAAGTAAATGTCCACATTATCAATATCGGTTGTCTCGTCTGTGTATCCAATAGAGTGACATTCTCCGTATGTCTCTGGAGGATCTACATACTTGCTTTCCCAATGAACTAGGCAATAAAGTCTGAAATTGGCAAATGCAGGTGCTGTCAAGCTAATAGAAAGTATCGCAGAGACCAACCAGAGAGATGTCAGAAGACGAATAGCTCTCTTCCGTGGATAGACTTAAGCTTTCAGTGGTCTACAGACACAGTAATATCGCTCAACAGCTAATACCAATATGTGCATTTCTGACGCAATAGCAGACGTATAGGTGAAGAATCTTGGTAGTATGCAACCTGCAGTACCACGATTTCCAACGTCCCCATACAATGGAGAGATGGCATAAGTAACTAGCCTATCGCTGATGCTCGTGATCAAATATGAGGCATCGGCCACTGCGAGGCTCACGAGATACATATTGATTGTGATTCGCATGTCTGGTACTCGATATACCATGAGTATGAAAGAGAAGTTCGTGATTAAACCAAATACCAACAAGATCGGCATCAAAATCTCTGTGGCGGTTTCTTGCCAATCTGTGTATAGAAGATCACTTGGGTTAGATCCAGACATATTATAGAAAAACACACAATCGGTATTATTCAAGCCCATTGCAGCGTTTTTGCCTGTCAAAAATGTACTTCGAATGACAAAAGTTTACACTCCTTAGTAACGCTTAATGTCAAATAGCTCCTAAGGTGTCAGACTGTTCTACTCATATATGCACTCTAGAATTGATGATCAAGTGAACTGGACTGCGGTCTACAGAAGCAGTAAAGTCTTTCCGGTTAATCAAACAACTGAGTCAAATGTGCAAGATATTGTATTACAGTACCTGCAATCAGATATGAAGTGTATTACTATTATAATATGTAGATTGTTGTCTTTGTCGCTTATCCCTAAAGCATTCATCTACGGTTGTCCTGACAGTGGTATTCTTTAGCAACATAATACAATTAGTTTATATACTGTAGGCCTTTGTGCTGGCAGACTCAAGCCCCGCCCCTTTGATGTTGCCACGGAAAGAGGGACAAGCGTGTATTTTCTGAACTGTTATGATTGGCCGGTTGTTAAGTTTGAATGTACAGTATTACTCCTAACGTCCATGACTTTGTAAATGGTTCACGTTTTCTAAAGTTAATATTAATATGTTAATGCCGGGGTCTTGGTGCTAATTAATCACCTATTTTCAATATAACCAGTGGCGTATCTAGGGGATGCACGGGGCGGGGGAGGGGGAGGGCGCACGCCCCTCCAAAAATCGTGCCTCCTCAATGGCCCCGAAAAATCACGGTCAATTAGTTAAAAATCACATATAATCACCTTATTTTGCGAATTAGCGCCCCTCAAATGATCATTGAGCCCACCCCACTTCATCTTCGAGTCCCCATCAGATTCCCCATTTCAAGACTTCTAGATACGCCATTGAATATAACTTGATAAGAGTGGTAAGAAAAACTAAATTTAATCTATTCAAATGAATGCAAGTGTATAATAGATAGGCTAAGTTATCTAACTGTATTCCATCTGATCCTCTGCATTTAGCGCTTTGACGATTTGAATTAATACAGGATTTTAAACTTGTCCAGAAAATGAAGCTTTGTTTTTAAGTTAAAATAGGCCTATAGGAATATAGTGATCCAAAGTTACCCTATTCTGCTAACATTGTAAGTTGTTTGTGAAAACAAAGGTACAGTAAGCTAAACTGATGCGCGTTTAATATTCGTATGGCCCTGTGCCGGTCAACATCGTGTAGCCACGGAAAATGTAATATCAATATAGTTATTCTGAAAAAAACCACAAATCGTGAAATTAAAAAAAGAAAATCTTTGAAGTTTCATGAAATTAGGAAAAAACTTTTACCTGAACTTCATGCCAGTGGCATATCTAGGAGTTTTGAATTAGGTGGGAGGAGTAAAGTGGGAATTTTCTGAGCATGTGCAGATTGTGCTTATCTGGCTCATTTGCATAACAATACCGCACGTAAGGCTAAATCAAGTTAGACGGCTTAAACCAGCCAGCTTCCTATCCTGGTAACAGTTAAAAGTCCTTGCTTGAATTGTACTTTCGGCGCTCGAGATTTGATTTTCCCCCGTCGGCCTTGCTGAAAATTCCCCGACAGGGGTCCAGAGGTTCCCTCATGGGGGGTCATTTGGCCCCCTGGACACCAGCTAGCGCCGCCCCTGCATAAATTAACCATAAATGTAAAAAAATTGGCCATAAGTGTGAAAATCAATTTAATTAAAACTGTAAAAACATTTCGCCTATAAATTTGGTACTAGGACATTTCGCCGAATGCCAGTTTGGCGACAGACAGTTGACCGAAAGAACATTTCACCAACACCACCAGAATTCGTCGAAACCAAATTCGCCGATTGGACGTTTCGCCGATAGTGATAGTGACTGAACATTAAAGCTGGATAAAGAAAGTATAAGCAAACATAATTAAATTTATCATAAAGTTATTCTCCTCCTCCTTCTCCTTCCCCTTCCTCTTCTTCTTTTGGTTTAACACAGGGGCTTACCAAACTTATTTGACAAGCAACATAAACTGCTAAAAAAATAGTAACAGTCTATAACATCACTTATTATTTTACGAGTAACTTTATTTATTAACGATCATAATTCTTTTTTAATAGAACTTAGTATGCAACAGCAATAGCCTAATTTTATTTGTTCCTAAATATATCCTATATATATATATACATATACACACACACATATATATATATATATATATATATTTAGATTTATATATATACACATATATATATATATATACATATATATATACATATAGGTATATATAAATACATATACACACACACATATATATATATATATGTGTGTAGACAGAGATTATTACAAGGAATTATTTTTTTTGCCAATTAACAGAGGTATGCTTGTAACTTTCCTGATTTATCACAGTTAACAGTTATGTAAGGGCGTACAAAATATGTTAATTCAAGAGAGATGGAGAGAGAGTGAGAGAGAGAGAGGGGGATATGCGATGAAGAGAAGGAGAGACATTAAAAACTAAGTAATTTGAATGAAAGTTTCCTGATAATGGTAATGAATCTCATTACATACGACTTCGACTTCGAATTTATTGTAACGAATGTTTAGACAACTCTGGTAGTCTTTGTCGAAGGTTTCACATAAACTGAACATTCTGATGTAATTTTATAATACATTAGACTAGAGTGATACATTAATAATGATATATTACAAGATACAAGATAAACTTTATTGTCGAATGGTTTACATTCGAGATTTGTTTTCACGTTTCAATAAAGCTGGATACACCAAAACAAAAGGAGAGTACAGTACAAAAACCGAAAGGTCCACTGATTAATCTCTGATAAGAAAGTATAATACATACTCGAAGTATTGAAATGCACGCCATCGTATTGGGATTCAATATTTCGAGGGTAATTATGTCATCATCAGGATTCCTCACATAATACTTGGAGTATGTATTATACTTTCCTAGTAGCCTACAGTAAAAGTGATGATATTAATTTGTAGCTCTCCCCAGCGACAGAAGCGTGATATGCGTCAGTCACTTGTCACCCAATTCAGGGTTCCCGCTGCCGAAGCAGGGGGAGTGTGTACTCACACATTGTATGACGCACACACAGACCGGACCGAACACTAGAGCACAATCAGGTCTGCTCTGAGAATGGGAGCTTACCCTACCTACCATAAAGTATACTGTTATTCTTAATTCATTGCAACTTCCTGAATACACTATTGACGAGTCGAATGACCGATAAACAGTGGCGGTGCTACGGGGGAGGGGGATAGGAAGGGTTATAAGCCCCCTCCACCCCTGTAGGGGAAGTTAGTAGAGATTCGTTGGGGATAAAAAAAAACAAACATATACAATAGTTTAAAAGGTTTATATCATTATGTTGGCCCGAATTGGATAGGCCTATATAATTAATCATTGTACGCCGATAAGATGCAAAAATACCATACTTAGGTCAAGATGCCTTGTATAAGCGTCTAGCATCTCATTATGTAATATTTTCTCATTTTTCAAAAATGTTCTCCAACCCTTAAGCCTGCATTTCCTGTCGACGTAAAGTTCAGAATTTCTTACGATTCTTACGACTGTTACGCGAAGTTGGACAAACACAGCCGCGTCTTGATCGTGCTGGGCCGCATACAAAATAAGCCGGTAACGATTCTTACAACAAGTTGAATTTTTCAAGCTCGAACGGCAAAGCCTCTCCTAACGTCGTCACATGCATGTTACGTCAAGTTGAATTTTTCTTTGCGACTGCGATATGTTAACATTTCTCACTTCCTCTCTGGTTTCCTCATTAAAATAACCTGGCGAAATTCGAGGACAATTTTCACCGTTCGATTTAAACAATTAATAGTCTAGTCCTGTAGTACAGTATAAGCATAGAAAAATATTTTCTCTACGGTATAAGGACCTACAAATCTTGGTTTGCTAACTTTCTCGTTATCGATTTTAGTGTTTCGTTCTCAAAGTATCAATTAGGCCTACAGTATATTGTACTTTGTTTATTTCATTTCACCTATTTAATATTGTGTTTTGAACTGACAGAACAATCTTATCTCCAGATATACGTAGTTATACAGAAAAAAATGATTTAAAATGTCAAAATTATAAAGTTCGGGTTGTTTAATATAAACAGGAATTTAAATTAAGAATGAAATACACTTTACAGCAGAAAATATTCCAACTGGCAATAGGCCTATATATTTTATATTTTATTTATTTATTTATTTATATTATAATGTTTTATATATTATTTTTATATTATATAAGTTTTTTGGCATTTTTTTGTAATTAATTAAATCTAATTGCAATCATCATTCTTGACCACCACTCTTCCCCACCCCCGCCCCCACCCACGAAAAAAATCTCTGGTCCATTTACTGCAGTCAATCACAAATACTCCAGTCATAATTTACAGATGTATAGGCAGTGGCGGCGCCATCGGTTTCCTGTCAAATCGCATTTTCTTACGATAAAACGACGTAATCGTAAGTAAATCTGCCTTCTTACGTCGACAGGAAACCAGGCTTTACCCGGCTCTTTCTTACGTCCCTCGGATGGCGCCACGCTGCAAAGTACAACTCTTGCCCTGAATGTCGGGCGTTGCCGTGCCGTCGGGGAAATCTTCAGTAGTTGTAGTAGTAAATACAAAATTTCCGTAGCACCTAACAATGTTGTCTTGAGTGCAAAATATGGGTTGCTTAAAGTACAGGATAATAACAGCTGTGAAATTTCATACAAACGGGACAGGATGAAGATTTACGGGCCACTATAGTATAACAAGACACTATAGGGCGTTTTTGGGTGGTTAGAAAATGACGTCATGAAAAATGAGCGTGGGTACTTAATTGAAACAATGGGGTTCGGAAGTGTAAACAAAAGGTGTTATATTTCTAATTAAATATAGGAAGTGTGGTGTCGGTTATTTCAAAGGGATTAATTTTATTGAAACAAATGATTGTCAAAAGTCTAAACAAAGGATTATGGGAAGTCTAAACAATGGTGTGTCGGAAGTCGGGGTTTAATTATTTGAATCAATGGAATTCGAAAGTGTAAAAAAATGACGTCACCATAATTTAATAATCCTAATACAATGGGAATACTTAAAAGGTGTTAATATTTGTAATTAAATATAGGAAGTGCGGTGTCGTTATTTCAAATTATGTTCATTAATTTATTGAAACAAAGGATTGTCTGAAGTCTAAACAATGGTGTGTCGTGTGAAGCAACAGTAATGACGGCTCTCATCGCAATGACCTATTTTTGGTTCCCTTCAACAGAGTCAATTGCGCTAAAAATGGTTTTATTCATCGTCTTGCCCTCTCATTTAATAAAATTTCTCATAATTTTACGTTGATCG